TTTTTTTTTTGAGACAGAGCCTCAAGCTGTCCTCCTGGGTAGAGTGCTCTGGCATCACAGCTCACAGCAACCTCCAACTCCTGGGCTCAAGCGAGTCTTCTGCCTCCGTCTCCCAAGTAGCTGGGACCATAGGCGCCCACCACAACGCCTGGCCATTTTTTGGCTGCAGCCATCATTGTTGTCTGGCGGGTCCGGGCTGGGGATTCAAACCCGCCACCCTAGGTGTACGTGGCTGGCGCCTTAGCTGGTTGAGCTATAGGTGCTGAGCCTGTTTGTTTGTTTTTGAGACAGTCTCACTTTGTTGCCCTCAGTAGAGTACTGTGGCATCACAGCTCACAGCAACCTCCAACTCTTGGGCTCAGGCCATTCTCTTGCCTCAGGCTTCCAAGTAGCTGGGACTACAGGTGCCCACCACAACGCCCAGCTATTTTTTTTAAGAGATGAGGTCTTGTTCTGGCTCAGACTTCACAGGTCTTGAACCTGTGAGCTCAGGCAATCCACCGGCCTTGGCCTCCCAGAGTACTGGGTGTGCAGGTATGAGCCGCCGCACCCAGCCTGTATGCCTTGTTTTGGACTAGACTTGTGCATTCTTCCCTCAAATCCTGTCTACCTTTAGATGTCAGCCTTGAAACACCATCCTCTTGAGTTTTCTCCAGTCAGATCAAGGAACCCAAAATCAGAATGAAGGTTTGTGCTGGTTACTTTGGGGTTAACCCAGACTGTTTGTCTCTCTTGTTGACAGACTTAAACTTAGGTACTTTCCTGAGACTTTCTACTTCCTGTAGAGTTGCGTCCCACCCTTTAAAGCTGAGTCTTCTTCATCACCTGTCTGTGACAAACAGGCCTCTCTGCTCTAGTTTCCCTGCCCAGCTGCCTTCCAGCACCAGAGATTGTAGATTTGAAGAGAGTGGGAAGTAGAGAAAGTGGGAACCCCTACCCCCACCACATACCTGTCCAAACCATAATCTCTACTCTAGCATGATTCTCCGTGGTTTAAAGAGAGGAAGGGTCTTTCTGATTCAATTTACTCTAATGGGAGCATTAAAATGAAATCTCTTTAAGTCTGGGGAGAAGGAGAAAGCAAGAAATTTAAAGAGGATCTGGTTGGAGAGACTCTAGAGGGGAGCTTCTCCTTGCATCACATTCTCACTTTATCCCATGCCCTCATGTCCATCTGCTCCAGCCACACTTGTCCTCTTACAGGTTGCCAGATAGATAGCAGCTTAAGGCTGAGAACTACACACTGGGTTCCCCCTGCTCTGCTTCACTCCTAGTTGCCAGAGAGGATGAATCTAAAAGAGAATGTTAAGGACAGGTGCTGTGGCTCACATCTGTAATCCCAGCACTTGGGAGGCCAAGGCAGGTGGATTGCCTGAGCTCACAGGTTTGAGACCAGCCTGAGCCAGACCAAGATCCCATCTCTAAAGATAGCCAGGCATCGTGGTGGGCGCTTATTGTCCTAGCTACTTGGGAGGCTGAGGCAAGAGAATCGCTTAAGCCCAGGAGTTTGAGGTTGCTGTGAGCTATGACGCCATAGCACTCTACCAAGAATGACAATGTGAGACTATCTCAAAAAAAAAGAGAATGTTAAAATTCCCCACCAGACCCACCCCTGCAGCTGTGAGCACCTGCTAACGGGAGGCCCAGGGGTTTGGGGAAGTGTAGGAGCTAAATTTAGTTCAAAGGCCACCAATATTTATTTATTTGGAGACAGTTTCACTTTGTGGCCCTTGGTAGAGTGCTATGGTGTCATAGCTCATAGCAACCTCAAACTCTTGGGCTCAAGAGATTCTCTTGCCTCAGCCTCCCAAGTAGCTAGGACTACATGCACCCACCACAATCCCTGCCTTTTTTTTTTTTTTTTGCAGTTTTGGCCAGGGCTGGCTTCGAACCTGCCGCCCTCAATATATGGGGCTGGTGCCCTACTCACCGAGCCACAGGTGCCACCCAGATAATTTTTAATCTTCATCTGCAGTTCCGTCTTTGTGTCATCTACAAATAGATGGATTTTGAAA